ATTACAACAACAACAACAACAGCAACAACAACAACAGCAGCAGCAACAACAACAACAACATCATACACGACAACAACATATTCAACAGCATCAGCTTCAACAACAACAGCTACGACAGCAACAAGGATTAACAATTGATACTAGTTATCAACAACAACAACAATGTCAACAGCAATTAGTAAAAAATCAACAGCAGCAGCAACAACAACAACAACAACAAAATCAATCAAGTAATAATATACCTTCTACATCTAATCCATCATCACCCTCTAAATCTACTAACAGAGATAAATCAGATAATAATAATATCAATGATACCGATATCAGTAATAATAATATTAATGATACAGATGATAATAACACACAGTCTTTACCATCATCACCTAATAACAATATTTCAACATTATCACCATCAACATCAAATAATAACATTTTAAAATCAGAATCACCAAAATCAATAACCACTGAACCAAGTATTTATTTATTTATATTTTTATGTTACAGAGTTTATGGTAACTTCATTAATCAAACTTTGGTTTTTTTAGCAAAGAGGACATCAGAAGATTCCACACCAAAGACAAATAAAGTAGTAATAAAGAAAAGGAAGACAACAAGATGAAATTGATCAATTGTTAATATTATATATATATAAATATCATATTCTTTCTTTTATTCTTTCTCACCTCTTCATTCACCTTTTCTTCCATCTTCATCATTGCATCCATCCTATCTCCTTACACTACTTGCTTTATAGGATTTTTTTAAATTTTTTCTATAAAAGAAAAAAATTATTCACTCCAAAAAATAAGTTGATTTTTTCTGCTGCTTTATAGTGTTGCGACCCGTTAAGACCTGGGTTGTAACGGGTTAACGTTAAGAAACTTTGCATAACGGGTTGTTAACGGATTACGGTTAGCTTATAGGATTTGGTGTTACAATCCGTCAACCCGTTAAACTCGTTAACGATAATAATAATATCAATATTAATTAATATTACAATTAAAAATCCATTGATCCAATAATAATATTGATTTGTTATGCTGAAGTGAGGACTTTTTGACCATGTTATTTATTTAATATGGTGCAAGTCACCTAGTCCCGCAACTTGCTGCGCCTCGTGGCCAATTTTGGGAAAAATCATCAAAACTCAGAAT